GTGGGCGCTGCCGGAGCACCCGTGCCACTGGAAGGTGGTGACGCCCAATACGACGGTGGCCATGGCGTTCGGCCCTCTGGCCGCGCGGCGATACGGCCCGGACATGACGCTGCGGGAGGCGCTCGACGGCCGCGATGACCCCTACCGGACGCTCCTCCGAGAGGCCACGGCGGCGCTCCTCAATGCCTACTACAACGCGCCGGAGTCGCCCTTCCTATACCCGACCACCGCCAGTGTCATCGACCACCTCATCGATGCGGCTGACTGTGCGGGCGGCGCTTGCGCGCGAGGATGGCGTGGGAGGGGGCATAGGCGTCGAGGCCGTAAGAGCATCTCCAACAGCCGCGCTTCGCGCCGCGCGCTAAAAACTAGTATGGTGCGTGCGCTTCGGCTGGTTTAGCGCGGCCGCCAGCGCTGACTCCAGCAGCCGCGCTATAATGCAGCGCGCAAAAATACAGCGCGCGTGGCACACACAAACCACATATACATTTCAAATAAAAATAAAAATGATCAAACAAACAAAATAAATCAACAATAAATAGTTCAATTTCGTTATTACAACCCAAACAAATAGTTTAGTACAACAAATACTACAATAAACACAACAAATACTACAATAAACCCACCCAAAATCTAGCCGGTCCTCTCACAATAGCAAATTGGGCTTGCAAAATCCCAAATGCTCTCTCCACATCTTTTCTAGCCGCCGCCTGAGCATTGTGAAAATCAAGATTTTTCTTACCTTCCGACTTTTTCAACGGCTTCATGAAGGTTTGCCACTTTGGATAGATGTCATCCGCTAAATAATAGCCATAGTTGTACGTACGGCCATTTGCTACAAACTGCACCGGTGGCAACTCACCATTTGCAATCTTATTCATTAGTGGTGACCGGTTGACAACATTGATGTCATTCAAAGATCCAGGCATTCCAAAGAATGCATGCCAAATCCAAGTCTCCTGATCGGCCACCGCTTCAAGGATTATAGTGGACCCCCTTTTTTGGCGGTGGAATTGCCCATGCCATGCCTTTGGACAATTCTTCCAACTCCAATGCATCCAATCTATTGAGCCAAGCATGCCAGGAAAGCCGCGAGCTTTGTTCATCGCCAATAGCATCGCGACGTCTTCAACATTGGAAGATCTCAAATACTCCTCGCCAAACACTTGCATAATTCCCACTGCAAAGCGCTTGACACACATGATGGCTTGGCTCTCACCCATAGCCAAGTGATCATCAACTAGATCAGCCTGGATACCGTATGCCAACATACGCAAAGCGGCTGTCACCTTCAGAAAGGTGCTATGCCCGAGCTCTCCAGCGGCATTCCTCCTTTGCTAAAAAACCGGTCATGGCTTGCTAGTTTTTCTGCAATGCACCTGAACAAGTCGGTGCTCATCCTAAACCGGCGACGAAAATACGACTCCGGGTATGTGGAATTCTCCACGAAATAGTTCCTCATCAATCTGTTATGGGCATCAATCCTATCTCTCCAAATTTTCTCCCGACCCATAACCGAACCACCGTGCTTCGGTTTTTTGTTGATATGCATAGCTAGGATCATTGCAAGATCCTCCTCCTCTTCCATATCAAATTCTTCTTCGGAAGAATCATACGACGAACTCATCTACAATGTTCAATACTATACTATAAAAACTACAATTAAAAACATGCACCAAATTCATCAAGTTTGAGCAATACATACCTTGTAGGCGTTTTGCCGAACACCTTGCGGGCGCGGCGCGATAGCGAGCGCTCGGGCGCTGTTCCTCGGACGACGGGCGCATGTGAGGGCCGGCGGGACTAGGAGGGGGGGGGCGGAAGCGCGGCGGCGCGGGGATAGGCGGGGGAAGCGCCGGAACGGTCGCCGGGGGACACGGGCGGCGGCGGCGACGCGGCCGGATGGGGGTGGAAGTGGGAGAGGAGAGAGTGCGGCGCGAGCGCTCGAGTGTGCCGCGCGCGGAAGCGGGCGCCCCAAATACACCGCACGGGATAGCGTATCCGACCGCGCGCCCAACTCGTTATAGCGCGCGCGCAGTTTTTGCGCGCCCGCTGAAGCCACCCGCCGCGTTACGCGCGCGCTAAAACGGCCTAATTTGCGGCGCGACGCTAGTTTAGCGAGGCTGTTGGAGATGCTCTAAAGGCGGACGCATAGGCTGGCGATGGCGGTGGCGGTGGCGAAGGCGAGGGGGCGGCGGTCGGGTGCAGAGGATGGAGCTGGCGGTAGAGGAGGGATGTGGATCTTTATTAGGAGATTAGGAAGGGAAAACGAGGGATGGGGCCGGGACTCGGGTGAGATTGACTTCCTTCGACGGTGGGGGATTTCCTTTCAATCGACTCGCGGCTTCGATCAATGTAGCGAAACGAAACGACTACGGATTGTTTCATTAGGAGTAGATTAGGAGTAGGCATAGGCTTTGAGGTAATTTAAATTTGTTACCATATAATTATCATAATCAAAATTTCCTGAGTTATGGCTTTACCATACCTGGATTGATAGCCTTTGGGGTAATTCAAATTTATTAACATATAAATACCATATTCGAAATTTCCTAAGTCATGGCCTTACCATACCTGGATTGATTTATTACTATAATTATCATATTTGAGATTTCTAAGTTTATAGCCTTACCATATGTGGATTAATTGTGATTGATTACCATAAATACGTTGGGTATTGCTGGCCAGACGAGAAAAGAGGAAAACCGATGGAAGGGGGTGGTGGGAGGTGGGACGAAAAAACCCAGACGAAAGTGGTAGGACTATTCAACCAACTCGTTTATTAGGAGTAGAGATTATATAGAGTTGTAAAATATAAACATATCTAGAATAATTAAAAGAAAAACATTTTTCCATGCATGCATGGTTGAATATTTCTAGTTTGTCTTTCTCTATACTTAATTGCATGTTGAGGTGGGCTTTGTCTCATTCATAGTTGGCATGCTTGCATGTTGGGATAAATAAGTTAGTGGGGATCACTATGTTATGTATATAGGATAAGGTACGGACATCTGCAACACGGACCCTTAAAACAGAATCAATATCCATCTGTCAACGGCAAGCTCACCGGCCGTGAGCCTCGGGAAGTGAAGCTGCGGGAGTGAAAGAATAAGATGTGGGGCATGGCCCACGTGGGACACCGGGCATGTCCACGCCCCATTTCCTATTCTTCCTCGCCAGAGTCCGCCATGTTGACGGTGCTGGACGTGGACGGGGCGGCCTCATGGTCATTGTGGTGGGGCATTTGTCGACATTTGTCGATGGTGGTTTGCCGTGTAATTGCATATGCTGAGTTTGTAGTGTTAGAGTTTCTATTTTTGGAACGACAGATAGCACAAAAGAGTTTATTTACTTCATATACTAAATTGTCTTAAGTCAAAGTTTTTATAGTTTAAGCAAGTTTATTTTGACTAAATGCGGTGGTAAGTTTATTAGACTAGTGACATGATGAATCTAGTATTGAAATATATATTCCATGATGGATCTCATTTCAATATTGTATTAATTTGATACTATAATTATTCATATTTTCTAATATAAAATTGGTCACGAACATGTTAAGTAAAAAAACAAAATAAGTATCATTAGATTTGTATCACCATGCCGTCCGTGACACCCTAGATAGAGTTGTTAGCCGGTTGATAGTCATATGATTTGTATCTATCTCCCATTTATTAAGAGACTCTCGAGCTCTCTATAGAGGATGAGATGCTTCCACCAAAGTTTACATGTGCTACTTACATGTACATGTATAACCTGCCCAGTTGGTGGCGAGCTGTCTCAGTGAGCAGTCAATCTCACTTGCATCAGTGAGGAGTCATTTTCCATATAATCATGAATCATACATATCCTGGTTTTGCTGTGAAGAATGGTTTTAACTTTCGCTGCTTGCGAAGATGAGCTGCGACAGCTTTCGTACATAGTAGAATAGAACTAGTGGTATTGTGCAACCTAGGCTTCCAATAGCATCTTATGACGGAGACACCTCATCAAATCAAAAAGTAAAGAAGAAATATGTTGTTCTAGTGTGTACATACATAGCACATGTCAAAATTGTGTTGTGGAATTGATCAACTTGACAAATGGATGACGGACCAGGTAAACTCACTGAGTGGGTAGAAACTCAAGCGACTTCTGCTAGACAACTACAAAGTAAACCAATAGCTGGCTTCTTATCTATACCACCGACAATGCACATACCCTGCTCGTTATTATGTGTGTG